TGTTGTCGATAGTGGTGATGGTGTTACCCATGTCATTCCAGTGGTTTGTATATACACTCCTTATGCTTTTTTGTTTGACTGGAGTAATCATTGATTGATTGTTTTTTTGTTTTTGTTACAGGCTGAAGGCTATGTTATTGGTAGTTGTATCAAACACATTCCGATCGCCGGTAGAAACATAACATATTTTATACAATCTCTTTTGAGAGAAAGAGAAGTCGGTATTCCTCCAGAACAATCTTTGGAAACAGCAAAAGCAATTAAAGAAAGGTGAGAGAGAGGGAGAGAGGAAGAAAGAAGGGAACAGAGAGAAAGAGAAGGGAAGAGAGAGATAGAGAGAAGGGAACAGAGAGAGAAAGAGAAGGGAACAAAGAGAGAGAGAGAGAAGGGAACACAGAGAGAGGGAGAGAGAAGGGAACAGAGAGAGGAAGAGAGAAGGGGACAGAGAGAGAGAGAGAAGGGAACAGAGAGAGAGAGAGAGAGAGAAGGGGACAGAGAGAGAGAGAGAGAAGGGGACAGAGAGAGAGAGAGAGAGAGAAGGGGACAGAGAGAGAGAGAGAGAGAGAGAAGGGGACAGAGAGAGAGAGAGAGAGAGAAAAGATGGTGGGAAATTGGTTTTTTTTAATATTTTGATTTTTGTTAAAGGTATTGCTACATTTGTCCAGACATTGCCAAAGAATTTGCCAAATACGACACGGATTCGGGTAAATGGATGAAAAAATACGAGGGTATAAATTCTGTGACGAAAAATCCATTTAATGTCGACGTAGGATACGAAAGGTTTCTAGGACCTGAAATTTTCTTTCATCCCGAGGTAGGAGAAAATCAAAAGGACGGGGGGGAGGAGGAGGAGGAGGAGGATAATTAAAATAATACATTGTCGTCATGTTTGAAATTTTATTTATTTTTTTAATTTCCAGTTTTCCAATCCGGATTTTACGACGCCGCTGTCGGAAATTGTCGACACGGTAATACAAAATTGTCCGATTGACGTGAGAAGACCT